CACCATGTTTCTCATGATCAGATTTTCAAATTTTTATATTCACTTAATCTTGTTCTATTTCAATTTTGCTTCATTATTCCTTATTTATTTCTAGATATTATTTTTTTTTTTTTTACTTTTTTGAGCATTCTAAACACACTTATTTAAAAGCTGCTGCTAGAGTATTTCACAAAATTAAGTTCATCCTGAATAAATCCATGGTCCAAACATTGATTTACTGATTGCCATCTCTGGCGCTAGATCTCATGTGTTTCCGATTTTGTCTAGACTCATCTGGACACAACTTCTTTTTCATTTTTCTCTCCCTTCCCTTGCAGCAAGACCGCAGCTGCCTTGGTACTGGCCCCTCCCGGGTACTGCTGCGGCCCAGGGCACAGCGTGGCTCACAGACGAGCAGAGGCGCCAGTTCTACCCCTCTCTCGCCCAGAGAACTCCTGGGACCCGCTACTCTGCGAGAGCTGTCCTTCCTCCGGCTCATCCCCACCCGGTTCTGAGCCGGGAGCCCAAGAGCCTGGGCACTGGTCCCGCTCACTGCAGTGTTTTGGGACACAGCAACGCACCGCTGCATTGTCACTGTCTCTGTCCACGTTTTAGGGTGGTTGCTGTGGGTCTGGAGCAGAGGGGTGCACTCAGGTGGGAACTCAGAATCATCCTGGTGTGTGTGCTTTGATGGATTTCAAAAAGAGAAACGACTTGGTTATTTCTGAATTTGAGCAAGATCATTCTCGACGCAGGAGGATGTGACCCTGATGCAGGCCGAGCAGGCGGGGAGGCCAGGTGGAGCCCAGGGCAGTCGGGCAGGGGGCCGGGCCGGGCCGGGCGGGGCGTGGGGGGAGGAAGTGCGGGTGTAGGCAGGGCCTCCCCAGGAAGGCGCTGGGCCGGGCCACCGCTGGGGCTCGTGTGAGGCTGGGACCCGCCCCAACTGCCCCTCAAAGGGCAGTGAGATGCCAGATGTGGTCAGGTGCCTCCCGAGGCCAGGACGATGGGTGGCCACAGAAAGGCTGCAGCTCTGTCCTAAAGAAGGCCATGGGCCTGGGGACAGGGAGGAGCAGAGAGAGCCCCGGGTCCGGAGCCAGGGGCCCGGCTCCGTCTGGGCTCCTCGCGTAGTCCTGTGACCCTGCACGCGTCTGCCTCTGGGCCTGTTTCCTCATCCGTCAAGTGGCCCCCGTGGCTCCTGCTCCGCTGCCTCAACGGTCGCCCGCAGTCGGCTACGGAGCTCGGGTGGGGGCCTGGCAGGGACGCTGCTGCCTCGTGTCCCTGAGCGTCAGCTGCCTGCTTACCTCACGGGGCTGCCCCGCGTCCGGATGGCCCCTGCCTGTGAATGCGCGCCCCGTGCTATAGAGCGCCACAGACGTGAGTCGTCCCCTGAGGAGACGCGGCCCACGCCGCCGTTCCACTCTCCCTGCTAGAGATGCCCGCACCAAGGAGACCCCAGAACCCCTGTCCCCCGCAGGGTCCGCCCCAGGCTCCGCCTCCCCCAGCTGCTTTCTTTGCTCCTCGTTTTCTGTCTATTGCTATAGTTGTCATTTTCTGTCATCGCTGGAATCAGGAGGCACCTGTGGGGCAGCAGAAAGGCCGAGGCCCCGCTGGGCTCAGCTGCCAGTTCCTGCTGTGACCCTCAGTGAGTCACCCGGCTGCTCTGGGCCTGGGGTCTGCACACCCCATGGGGGACATAATTCCACCTCCGCAGTGGCTGTGTGGGTTTACCAGGTGAGCCGTGCGCCAGGCGTCCTGCAATGCCTGGTGCACAGTGGTGTGTAGGAGCACGCCAGGGCCCGGGGCTTAGGGACACGGGCGACTCTGGCTTCCCTGGCTGTGACCCAGATGAGCAGACGAGCAGGTGTCCTTCAGGAATGAGCAGCACAGTCTCAGCCACACGCAAAAGGAAGACAGAATGGGTCCTTCAAGGAGGTTGTGACCTTGGCCATGGGAAGAGTGGAACGCACCTGAGCGATTAGCATTCATTACCAATATCCATTCTGGGAACAGGAGCTGTAGTGTATATACACAACACGCTCAAACATAAAACAAACAAGGAAGACGGGAGAAAGGACAATAAACAGGAAAATAAGATGAAGCTACGTCACAGCCCTATACAATTGTTAGAAGTGAGTCACAGACAAAAGCTCCCTAGCAGCCAAAGCGAAGAGGGATGCAGGGCCAGTAACACGGCTCCATGATCCACAGACCTGCTGGAATCTCTTAGAAGTGTAGGGGCCCTGATAGGAGCTCAGGCCAGCCTTGCATCCCCTGGGAAGGTCAGTAACGGGGACCCTTTTACAACCATAATCTTCATTTCGCGGGAAAGCTGGGAACTTGGAGTGGGACAATCAGGGAAGGACGAGGCTCTCTGTGACTGTCCTGAGCAGTTCAGCTCTGGCCCCAAACCTGACCCCCCGTCAGCCTGACCAAAGGCAGCGCGGCACAGACCCCAGGTCCCAAGGCCAGATGGCCTGGGTGCGGCTCCAGCTCTGATGGTCACTGTGACCGGGCCTCAGTGTCCCCATCTGTACAATGGGCTGACAACAGCCCCTGGTGCAGAGGCTGCTCCTGTGAGTGCCCTGGCCAGCAGCACACGCTCTCCTAGGTGGCCACTATCATGTCTGTGTTCCTCACATGTGCCTTCCATGACATCCACACGTCACTCTGGGGCGCTGGTACATGTGACGTCCCCTTCTACCGTACCTCCTGTGCTGTCCAGCACTGCTCCAGGCAGCCACCGGGCTGGCCTCCCCCATACGCCCTGCACAGGCAGGGGGGACGCGCCATGGCCCTGGGAGCCAGCGCTGTGGCCGAGCCTGACAGATGCCAATTCACGCACCTTCCCGAATCCACGCCCCTCCCACAGACCCTGGGCCCCTGGCGGCCGCTGCTCTAGCTCAAGTGCTCGTAACACGAATGCGTCGCCGACAGGCTCAAAGTCCGGCAGGTCTGTGCAGCACGGCTCTTCTTGGTCCTCTTTTTTGGGATTTTTACACGAGGATGTGTTGTAATTGCAAATTCTATTTCAGTCATTGCACATATTTACACTAATTATGTAGTTAGAGGTAATTATACTAATTGTATAAATGCACAATGATTGACTCAGATATACTTTGAGAGAACAAAGAGAATCCACCCAGAAAACCTCCCCAAACGCTAAGGGTGCAGCTAAACCCCAGGGGAGGACAGAGGGTGCTCACGGGAGCCGTGGGCTGGGAGCCGGCCCAGGGCCGCGCAGGGCACACAGCAGGCGCTCAGACTTTGCCAGAGTGTAACGGACTGTCTCTTCAGACCGCTGGGCCTGGGCCCACAGAGGAGACGTGGGTGACAAAGCAGCCTCGGTTAGCGGCTCTTTGACTTTACTGGCTTTTGGATGTGTCCAATGACAATAAATCAAGCCACTCTCCTGCTCAAAGGTATTCCACGGCTCCCTAGCACCTAAGGAGTACAGCGCTACCTCAGCAGCCTGCATTCAGGTCTTCCAGGACCAGGTCCTGACATCTGTCTTAGCCGCACGTCTGGACGTTCTCGGGCGCGTATGCCACCTGCGGCCCGACAGGACAGCGGACCTTTCTATGCCGTCCTTCTCACTGCCAAGCTATTGCCCGTGCCGTGCGCTCCAGCCGACGCGCCGTCCCTCCTGCCACTCGCCCTCCGTTGACATCCTACCTGCCCCTCTGGCTCTGCTGCCCACGCCCTCCTCTGCAAAGCCGTCCTCAGCCTTCCCGGGGAAACGGCTCTCTCCCTCTCCCCTCGCCTCCTGTAGCTCTTAGTTTAGAATTCTCTGATGACACTTGGTATTTTTTACCACAAGTTACAGGCCTCTGCAGCCACGCCAGCCTCTGCCCACAGAAGTGTTTCCCTAGGGCGAGGACCACATCTGCCCCGTCTGGGCATCCACAGCTGTTGGCACAGAGCCTGGCAGGGAGCAGACTCCAAGTCGTGCCTGGCGAATACAGGGAGACACGAACGGACGGTGACTGGCCTCTGACACAGCGGCGCACGCACAGACGGCGGGAGCGCGGAGCCCAGGGGGCCTCTGCAGCCTGCTGGGGCAGGGAGGTCTGGGAGGACACCTGAGGGGACCTACGGGATGATCGAGGGAGAGCAAAGGGGGCCAGGCGGGGAGAGTCCCAGAGCGGAGAAGGCAGGGCTGGTCTGGGCCGTGGGTGGCTTAAGGATTTGAGCCTCACACCTGATGTAGCCCGGAGTCCAACACAGAATGGCCTTTAATTAGCTGCTGCCTCTCACATGTCCACCAGGGCAGGTGGCTGCGAGCCTGCACGTGCTTGGATGGGTCAATAAAAGCCTATTTGTCCCTACTCCTTTGGAGGGGGGTGGTGTTATGTGCAATTTCTAGAAAGTTCTCCAGGCACCTTCAGGAGACATCTGCACCTCCCGTGCTCCCCAGGCAGCAGCTGACTTGTAATGTGCCCAGGGCCCTGCTCTGGCCATCTTCACGCACTCAGAATTGGCCATGGGCAGAGAGGAGGGGCAGGGGCCGCTTTAGGGCCATGGGTTGCTCAGAGGAGCACCGTCCCCTCCCGAACTCAGGACTGAGGGGACACAGCTGGGGCCCCCGGGATGGTGTGTAGTAGTAGCCGACAGTACCCTCCAGGTGCCACCCGAGGAGCTCGTGGAATCCTGGAATCCTTCCGGCAGCCCTGGGAGGAAGGCGGCCTCGCCATTCCCATTTTACAGACAGGAAGCAGAAGTGATCTGCCCACGGTCACAGGGCTGGACACTGGCGGTGCTGGGACTCAGGTGGCTCTAGAACGCGTGCTCACCACGGCCTCACGCTGCCGCCCAGCCCACACCTGGCCCCCCTGGGACAGACCAGCCAAGACTTGGCTGCCGGGCGAGTCCTGGCAGGGACTGCAGAGGGTGGCTGTGCCGCGGCTGTGGGGACCGTCCCACAGCGAGGCTGTCCCCACGCTGCACAGCGCCACGTTCTCCAGCAGCCCCAGACCCACCATGGCCTGAGCAGGGCCTGGGCCCTCCGGCGAGGGCCACCCTACCTCGGGGTTCTCCTGGGTCGGGGGCCGATCTTCCTTCTTCTTTTTGGTGGCCTGAGCTCCCTGAGATGGCTCCTCCGTGGGTGGCCGTGACTCCGCCGTACTCTCGGGCTGTGTCTGCACTTGAGGCTGAATGATGATGACCTGGAAAACGTGGAGGGGTGAGGGGGGCAATGACGGGGGTGGGAGAGGGGTGGAGGGAGCCCAGGAGGTCATGGGAAGGGGACAGTGGCAGCCGCAGGGACAGGCCAGGGCCTGTGGAGCCTGGGCCAGGTACGTCCTTGGAGGGTGGCCTGCGCCCACAGTGCGGCCAGCACCTGCTCCTCCCGACACCCCTCCCGCCGCAAGGAGGGTCCGCACCAGAAGCCGCCCTGCTCTAGGCACTAGGAAAGCCTGGCTCCCAGCCCTGCCCACAGCTTCCGGCTGAGTGGCCTCGGGAGGTCGCTGTGCCCCGAGCCTCAGCCTGCTCACAGCAAAGCCTTGGCAACGCCTGTGTCCTGGAGGCTGCACAGATGCAGGACCGCAGAGAGCGTGGCCGCCTTCGCCCCAGCTCAACACAGGTCAGCTGAGGCCAAGAGGGCGGCACGGCAGGGCAGAGGGGTGGCATTGCCGCCCCCACCCCCGAGGCCACTGGGCCTGAGACACTCAAACCTGACCTGGGCAGGCAGGTGGGAACAGGCCCTGTTTTTTTCACTGTGCGAGAGGGACCCCTCCGCGCCTGTGGGGTAGGGAAGGGCAGGTGGGCTCCAGGCCCCATTTGTCCTGCCCCGAGGGTCTGACACTGAAAGTAAGTCTGGAACCCACCCGTCCAGCCCAGGCTCTGCCAGCAGATCCCCTCCATCTGCTCTTCCGTTTTATCTTTTTGGACAGAGAACTGGGAAAGAATCATTATTTTTCGTGGATTCAGGGAAGAGGAACTCACCAGGATCCGTCAGCCAGGGTCTGGCCCAAACCAGGCATTATATGAACTTTTTCCCCCCCTAAAAACACATGGTTACTATCTTGTGAATTTCAGGCTCTTAAGCACAAAGAGAAAACATATTTCAGTTTTCTTTTGGCTTAAGGGAAACTCTTCCTTCTATGTATCCCATTTTAAAAACCCCAACTCATCTGTATGAAAACACATGCCGCTTTTTATGTTCGTGGAAAGAAAAACATTAACATCTGCAATAGAAAAAAGGGCAAAGAGAATCCTCAGACGAGCCACACCTAAGAGACAGAGTTCTTACGAAGCACGGGGGAAACATTCAACCGTAATGATAACCAGAGGGGTTCCACTGTGACCAGCAGGGCATCCGTGTGCGCCTGTTCAGTGAGCAAAGTGTTGAAGATGCCAACCCTGGGTGCCGCGGTGAAATCAGCATGCGCCTCAAACACCTGCGGAGCACGTCCGCTGGGCCAGGCGCCGCCCTGGGGTACCCCCTGCCACCTGAGCGTGGCCCATGGTGACTCTTCGGCCTTTGGGAATCCTTCAAGACGCCAGCAGCGGGAGGGCGGGCTCAGGAGCACAACATGCCAGAAACACGCCGTGTGCAGTAACGTAAGGTCACATGACAGCCGAGCGCCCACATCCCGGCTGGGGAAGAGGAAGGCACAGCAGCCAGGACCAAGAGGGGTGGCCCGGGAGACCCCAAACTGGGAACCGAGGAAAAGAGGCCAAAGAGAGGAAACGGTAATGACCGTGAGGACCCAAAGGCCTCGAACAGCGCAACCACTGAGGAGCTCAGAGGGGAACGGGGAGAGGGTCTTAGCGTTAGTACTAAGTCTCGGCAAGAAATCTCGGGAGATTGTGCATTCAGGCACTGGGTGTAAAAAACGCCCCTGACTGTCAGACTCCACCCGCGGAGGAGGGCGATCAATATTGGTCCCTCTTCCAGGCCCTCGCTCGGTCACACATTTTATTCATTGGTTAATTATTCCAATGACTTAATTCATTCGTTGACCAATCACTGCTTTGCCCCCAGCATTCATGCATTCAGCCGCATTTCCTTTTACTCACATACGCTCTGTCTGACCACGCACTGATACGCTCCCCTAATCGCCTGCACACCCCATTCGCGCCTCTGGCCCTGGACCATTCTGCCTGGGCCTCGTTCATTTGGACCCTCCTGGACGACTGGCTCCGAGGCCTCCCGTGCGGGGCACGTCCCGTCCGCAGCCTGCCGGGGGGCACTCACCTTGTTGTCGGCACTGATGAGGAGGGGCTGGACTTTGATGCTGTCGCTGACCACGGACACGGCGGTGCTGGGGGCCATGGCGGTGGCATTGCTGGGGGAGGTGGAGATGATGGCGTAGGCCACCCCGGCACTGCTCAGGGGCGAGGCGAGGGCAGCGGGCTCGGCGAGGGCTTGGGGCTGGCTGCCGGGCACTGGCACATGGCTGACGGTGTTGTTGGCGGTGGGGAGGGCAGGGCTGGGGTTCTTGATGCTGACCACGGTGGCCTTCTGGAATGTTGGGGGCTGTTTGGGTGGCCGGTCTCGGCCCGGGGTGACAGGGAGGCTGTCTGGAATCAGAGTCTTTGGCCTAACCTGGGAGGAGGGACAGGCGCAGGGTCAGAGAGACGGACATGTGTGGGCGGCTGATGACAGGCTCAGGGCAGGGGCAGCTCTGGCCAGAGGCAGGACCAACAAGACCTGGCCCAGAGACGTCCCACGTTCAAGGTGAGGAGATGCCATCGGAAAGGGCATGGGGGGCCCAAGGCCTCAGGACAGGTGAGACCTTGACTCTGCCACCTCGTCCTGGGCTTGCACTGACCGGCCATGGGGCTCTAGAGGAGCCGCTCGGGGAGTGCCTCCCTCTGCTCCCAGAGCTCAGGGGGGCTGCGGCAGAGGGAGCAGAGAGGGAGCGCGGCAGAGGGAAGCACCTGAGGCGGTGGGGGGGGAGTCCCCGCCCAGGGCTCCTTGCACATCGGGTCTGAGCAGCAAAGCTCCCTCTGGCCCCAGAAGTCTGCAAAGCGCTGCCCTTGGGCAGGGGCCAGAAGGGGCCGGGAGGAGCCAGCAGGGCCCACAGGGGCCCCTGGGCCCTGCACAGGTGGGCTTCCTGTTCTGGGTTGGGGGGTTGCTGCTGTGTGCCCATGGAAACCACTGAGCTGTGCACGTGTGACTGGTGCGTCACGCTCTAACGCGTCCACGTAGAAGTGCGAGTGTCCTGCAGGCAGCTGCGAAGCGGTTCAGGCCACGGCCCTGGACATGTTGCCTGGGGCCAATCCTGGTTCCTCTGGGACCTGGGTGGTCTTGGGGACACATCTGAATGTCCCCAGGCCCAGCTCCCTCACCTGGGAGTGGGAGTAAGTGAGAAAATGCCCAGGAGGTGCCAGTGTGCCCTGACCAAGGGCTGTCACCAGCATTCCTGCGGGCGCTGTCACCGCTGCAGCATTGACCCTGCACGCTGAACCAGGCTCACTTCATCCCCCAAATGAGGCCACGCCACCTGGCGGGTCCACGCAAACATCACCTCCTTAGAGACAGGAGACGGGGGCTTGGAGAAGGGACGTGATCTGCCTTCTCGCCTTACTTGAGCCCTGCTGTGACCACGCGGAGGGTGGGGATGCTGGCCTCGTCCACAGAGGAGCAAGCTGAGGCTTGGAGGGGAGGGACTTACGGGAGGATGCCGATGCTACACTTAGGGCAGGGGCGCTTGCGCCCAGGACCTCTGCGGGCCTCTCTGGCACTGTTGTCCCCACCTCCCCCACCCCGTCTCCAGTGACACACGTGGAGAGAGGGGCTCAGGGCAGCTCCCGCAGGGCTCTGCGACCTTAGGCAGCTCACCGAGGCACAGCCGCCCTCTGGCCAGGTAGGCTTCCTATCTGTGAGCTCCTCCGGTGCCTGGCGTGGAGCTGGCCCCCGATTTTGGGCCCTTCCCATCCCCTGCCATGGTGGGCCCTGCGCTCCTGGCATCAGGGGCCTCTCCGTGGCTGGGCGAGGTGGCCAGCATGGGTCCAGCTGAGCCTGCAGCTCTGCCCTGGGCACCAGTGGTCAGGGCCCGTGTTCCCTGCTGCCAGGCTCACAGCCCCACGCCAGTGCCGATGCCCAGCATGGGAAACTGCGCACGGGATCCTCCTGGGCCCTGCCAGCCGCTGGCTGCGACAGTCACTGGCTGGGGAACTTCTGTTCCCCGTCTCTGCAGAGGGCGGTATGGGGCAGATGGATGCCTGTGCAGTCAGCAAGGACCTCAGCTGTGGTGATGGCCATTCCGTGTCCTACGGCCGCCTCCCTGGTCATTTGGGGTTTGCCCACAAATCCTGGTTGACCCCCGCCACTAACCCTAGCAACTGCACTCTGAGTGAGGATGAGCTGGCCCGAATCTCAGATGCTGGACATTGAAGATAAACTTAGGGGCTTAGGGTTTGGCCCAAACGTGTGGGCTTCCAACCCAAAAGGGATGGATCCCAGGGCTCGTGACCTTTCTGCCTGTGCTACCTAGAGATGATGCAACCTCCGGCCAGGAGGCCTCTGGGGTCCTCTCCCCGCCACCTCTCTCCTTCCTTTGGGCCTGTGGCGGCCACCATCAGGACGGCTCCCGTCGCAGGCTGCCTGTTCTGCTTCCTCGAGCTTCCCGTGACAGCAGCAACTGGTAGCTGCACCGGGCGAGCACTGGGCACCTTTTGGCCTGAGCTGACCGGCCTGGAGGCCAGCAAGCTAGCAGCAGCAAGCTAGTGGGGAGGGGACAGCAAGGGAGACACACGGAGACAGAGGCCCGGAGGCAGCAGGGTGCGAGGAAGGCTGGGGGTGCAGTGCAGAGCCCCTCCCTGATGCCCTCCCTTGCTCAGAAGCCTTGCATAGCTCCCTACTGCCCACTGGCAGGGGAGCCTGACTCCGAGGCCCCCCAAAGACCCCCAATGGCCTTTCCACCTCCCTGCTTGCTCTGGCTGCCCCTCCCAGCACTGTGACTTGGGCCTTCCCACCACCTCTGTTTCTCACCTTGCGCCCTCCTCCTGAGTGCTCTCTCCTGGGGCCTGTTTCCACCTTGGCCTGCAATGCCCTCCCACCCTGAGGCCCAGTTCTAGCACCACCTCCTCCAGGAAGCCCTCCTTGGCCCCCAGGTGGGTAACGGGCCTCCTCAGGGCTCCCGCCAGCCCTGTGTATTCTCCTAACTCCACCCCACCACCCTGGAGTCAGAGCATCTGTTTCCTTGTCCGCCCTCCCTCCAGACGCTGTGCCTCAGAGGGACAAGATTCGGCACGGGCGGGACGTGGGGAGAGCTGCCGCAGAGAGGAGCCCAGGGCAGCCGCCTCTCACTATCCTCGAGCTGGGGGACTGTATCCAGCCCTGAAGCCTCGGGACAGGCAGAGGCCATCTTTGTCTCTGCAGCTGGCAGCCCTTGGCCAGGAACGGTGTATACAGCAGGTGCTCAGCAAAGCTTAGCTAGTGATAATAAGGGCACTGGTTAATAATCGCCAGGCGTTTTCTCTGCACCAGGCCACGGATGGATGAGGCAGGCACCTGCATTAGCCCTTCTGCGGTGACCGGTCCCAAGTGTGGTGCCCAGTTGGGGTACCCTGGTCTAGAGCCCCAGGCACCTGGCCCAGTGTCTGTGCCGCTGCTCCTAAAACGAATCACCTTGCTCAGAGCTTCTCAAACTTCTTTGACCGCGACCCAGAGTAAAAAACACGTTACCTGTGACCCAGTACAGAAACAAACTGTTCAAGAAACAATGCTTATGGATGCATCTAGATATTTCTATTCTCTTTCAGTCTAGCCTAGTTTATTTCATTAAAAAAATTCTGGTCATGACCCACTGAACTGACTTCACAATTCCTCACTGGAAAATCAGATCTGGTCCAAATGTCTCCACTGAAGAACGAACAGAGGCGGTGGGAGGGGAAGGCGTTGCTGAGGGAGGGACGGAGGGCGTGCGGGTCCCGCCCAGCTCAGCGCCTGCCCCAAACCTCAGTGCGGAGGGGCTGGGGACAGAGACCATGGGGACAGACAGGTGGACACCCCAGGGCCCACCTGAAGGCTGCTTACCTGAGGTAGCACTGCCGCTCCTTGCCCGGCCAACCTCTGCAAGGAGCTGACCTGAGGACCCGTGACAGGCACTGCAGTGATGGTTCCCAAAGCCTGCAAGACAGAGGGGGCGGCGCTGAGACCGCACAGCCCCACCCAGCGTGGCTGGCCAGGGGCGGCTGCAGCGGAGACAGCAAATTCTACTCTTCCCTTTCTTAGTTACGATTTTTTAAAAATCACCAAAGTAATCTATATTCATTCGAGAAATTTTGGAAAAAAAAAAAAAGAATAGCATTGCCCAGAAAACAATCACAATGTATTGTACATTAGCTTCCTTTTTTAAGTCAATTTTTTATATGGCTCATACACAGAATTTTGTGACCTGTTTTTTCTACTTTCACTTAAGAACACGTGAGATTTCCCGACGTCACTACAATCTTCATGAATCACTCCTCTCCCGGCGGTGGAGTCCTCCGTTCGGCAGACACACCAGCATTTCCCCCGCTGAGCTCTTCCTCTCAGAAACCGGGGTTCTAGCCCACCCTCTCCCAGTCTAAGCAAGGCTGCAGGAAACTGAACGTCGTTGTGGATAAAGTCATTTCCACAACACAGAGTATTTTTGCAGGAAAGAGTCTGAAAGCAGTGTAGAAGACTGTTTGTCTGGGAATGTTTCCTTGTTGTTTTTCTCAAAAACGTGTCTGCGGCCTTGCACGCAAGTCCAGAGTGCCCTAAACCTGCAAACAGGAGGGGCTAGAGAGTTTAGATGCAAACATCTGCTCGCTGGAGACGAAACAACAAGGGACAGGGACATGTTGAGTTGGGACAGTGTGAGAACAAAGAAATTGCCGTGGGACAGTTGCCAAACAGGCTGTGTTATAAATAAAGCAACTACAGCGAGAGCTTTTGCTGCAGCCTTATACCGTCTTTGTGGTGTCTGTGTCTTTCTGTAGTGGCTGCAGTCGTGTACCGTCTTTACGTGTGTCTATGTCTTTTTGTCTCTGTGTTTATTCCTCTGCCCCAAGAAACGGGCCACGTCAAAGCAGGGATTCAGGGTGAAAATGCAGGGACATTTTTCAGGCCCTTGACAAGTGTTTCTATTGGGCCCCGTGGAGGGGAGTGAGCTGGGTGTGCCCCGGTGTGTCCCCCGAGTCCCAGCCCCCACGCCAGCAGCAGGGTGGGCGTTTGGGAGGGGAGACGGGAGCTGACTCCCTTCAGGGGTTCCAGGCACGAGCACAGGAGATTATGTTTTGGGGTACCCGCTTGCCTAAGCCTTCTTCTGTGGGAACCACCACTGCCCACAGCCCCCGATGAAGGAGCAGCTCCACACGGCCACATGTGTACCCCATGACCTGCCTGACGGGAGGAGAGGCGCCCCTCCCTCAGATCCAGCCAAAGCATCAGTGGCCGGTGACCAGCGAGGTTCTCTGTAGAACCCAGATGCACAAATTCTTCACAGAATGTTAGCAAAGCAATTCCGACAATAAGGAAAAGGATAGCATGTCATGAACGAGTTATTTGTATCCCAGGAACGCAAGGCTGCCTCGCCGTTTGAGAGTCAGTCAGTGTCATTCACCGTGAGAACACACGGAAGAAGAAAAACCACACGCTGATCTCAATAGATGCAAAAAAAAAAAAAAAAAAAAAGCTTGCTAAACAAATAAGTTTAGCAAGGTTGTAGGATAAAAGAACAATATATAAAAAGCAATCATATTTCTATACACTAGCCACCAACATTCAGAAATTTGAAAAAATTTAAAATGCCATTTGCAATAGCATCAAAAAATACAAGTAAGAAATACTCAGGAATAAATCTGACAAGAGCTGTGTCAGACCTGTACACTGAAAACTTCTAAATACTACTGAGGGAAATTTAAAAAGATGAAGTAAAGAAACAGATATACCATAACCATGGATCAGAAGCTTCAATACTGTTAAAATTTCAATTCTCCCCAAATTGATCTACAGACCTAATACAGCATCTATCAAAATCTCAGCATGCTTTTTAAAAAACAGAAATTGACAAGATGGTTTTAAAATGCACATGAAAGTTATAAGGGTCCTAGAATAGCCAAAATAACTCTGAAACAAACAAAAACAACCACCAAAGGGAAGGACTTACACGATTTGACTCTTTACGACCTATCACGAAGCTACGGTTGCAACGCAGCGCGGTATTGGCGTTAAGATGCGCAAACAGATCAATGGATCACAACAGAGAGTCCGAAGTAGACTCACACATAGATGGTCACCTGATTTTTAGCAAAGGCTGAAAAGGCACTCAATTTAGTGGAAAAAGGGTAGTCTTTTCATAAATGGTGTTGGAACAAGGAGATACCCATGTACTAAAAACAAACAAAAAGAACTTCGATCCATACCTCATACCATATAATTTTTTAAAAGTGAACAGCCCACTCCAGGTCAGGTGAAGAGCCTTAGACAGAACACCAAAAGCAAAACCATACAAGAACAAATTAATGAACTGAGCTTCAACAAAATAAAAAACTCCTAAAGATAGACAGTGTTAGGAGAATACAAAAACTAGCCACGCATTGGGAAAAAAAGCAGGCAAATCGTCTGATGAAAGGCTTGTATCCGGAACACATGAAAGACCTCTCGAAACTCAGTAACCTGAAAACAACCCAATTAAAAAAACGAACAAAATATTTGAACAGATACTTCACTAAAGAAGACACACTGAAGGCAAATAAGCAAACAAAAAGATGCTAAACATAACTAGTTATTAAGGAAATGCACATTAAAACCGCAATACAATATGACTTCACACCTACCTATTTCGATAGCTAAAGTTAAAGACTGACCACAGCAAACACTGGCGAGCACGCACAGCAACCAGAAAGCGCATCCGCTGCTCTTGGGGACGTAGAATGGTACAATCACTTCGGAAGACAGTTTGGCAACGTCTTACAAAGCTAAGCACACACTTACTGCTATGGACCGAATGTTTGTGTCCCCTCCCACAGACTCACATGTTGAAACCCTAACCCTCGATGTGATGGTATCTGGAGATGGTGCCTTTGGGAGGTGCTTAGGTCACGAGGAAGGAGCCCTCATTTAGTGCTCTTGTAAGAACACTCGAGAGAGCTTGCTGCGCCGACCTCCTCTCTGCCGAGGGCAGACACGGCAAGAAGGCAGCCGCCTGCAGACCAGGCAGAGGGCCCTCCTCAGGCACTGAACCAGCCGGCACCTTGACCTTGGACTTCCCAGCCTTCAGGACCGTGAGAAATTCATTTCTGTTGCGTAAGTCCACGGTATTTTTGTCGTAGCAGCCCAAGCAGACTAAGACGTTTACCGGAAGATCCAGATGTTTTATTCCCAGGCATTACTCAAGAGAAATGAAAGCAGATGTTCACTCAGACTCTTGTAAATGAATGTTCTAGCAGCTCTGTCTGTTGCAGCCTCAGCTGGGTGCGGCCCAAATGTTCACCAGCAGGCACGTGGATGAACAAACTGTGGTGCAGACCACCGCTCAGCAACACAAAGGAACAAACCACTGACACACACAACACGGATGAATCACAAATAACACTGCGGAAGGAAAGAAGCCAGATTCGAAAGAGGTACGTATTGTACGATGCCCATTACATAAAATTCTGAAAAATGCAAACCAAAGTGACGGCAGATAGATCGAGGTTTTGTGGAGGTGGGCGGGGGATGGGAGAAAGGGATCACAAAAGGGCACGAGGACGCTTTTGGGATGAAGGATGTGTTCACTATCTCGATCGCGGGGATGGTTTCACACGTATCAATCTTACATTGTACACTCTAAGTGCGGTTTACTGTGTAACAATGATACCTCAACAAAGCTGCCCAAAATAAATTCCCTCCCTACTTCTCCCCTTATCCAGCATTGTCACCCCCAGAATGACTATCATCCACCCGCAAATGACATAGCAGAGGTCTCAGGCCCCACAAGCCATGGAGCCACTTCTGACTATGACGGGTGGTTCCTGCCCCTGCTCTGCCGGCTGCCCCATGTGGTCAAACCCCGAGAGGCTCGTGTCCTTCCCGCCAGCTGCCTGCCTCTCTGCGCAGAGCCCAAACATCGGTACTTAACTGGAAACTCACTTTGAACATTTGTCGGGAAAGAGCTTCCCATGCAAGGCAGAGACATTAAGGACAGATTCCGGCACCTTACGAGTCAGCATCTGGATCCGCAAGGCTGTTCCCTGTTCCTTGCCCGCGTGGCTTTCAGGGCAGCACTGAAGCACCACCTGGAGCACGGCCCAGCGCCTACTCGCCCACATGCACACGCTCCTCCCCGTCACTGCCGGCTCCGCCCCCACGGTGTCCCCCCACTTCCACGGAGCGTGCGTGCAGAAGGCTCTGACCTCCCCCCTCCCCGGCCTGCCAGCTGATGTCTCCACACAGCTGGTCAACCGTTGGACCCCTGGGCCCCGGCCCAAACCACAGAGGTTCCAGGTGATTCTACCAACCTGGGGACCACAGGCCGAGAGGAAGCCGGCCTGCTTCCCGCAGGTTCTGCCAGGAAGGCCCACGCGGGCACTTTGCTCAGACGTTTCCTGCAGCGGGATCCCCAACAGTGAGTGCCTGAGAGCGGGGCTATGGGGCCCCCCGGGAGCAGGGCGGCCTGCACAGGTGGGGCCAGCGAGCAAATCCCATAGGAGCCAGAGAACGGCACGACCCTGCTTCCCTGGAGCTTCCCTTCGGGTTAAGATGCCCCAAACAGGCCCCTGGACGTGGCGCAGCCTGAGAGGCCTGGGTGGCCCTTCCAGACACGGCGGGCACGTGCGGTCTGCGTGTTTTCCGAGTCCACATGTCTCCTGTGCGTCAACCTGCTCCTGTGGGTGGTCCCGGCTGGGTCGAGGGTCGCTGTGCATCTGTCTGGCGCTACCGTGGACTTGGTTTCTCTGGGGTGTGTCCACTTGGCGCGCACGTCTCTGTTTCCACACGCATTCTCCTCTGGGAACTCCTTCCGCTCTGCGCCCCTGGTTCCCAGCCTTCGTCTCTGGTCATCTCCCTCTTGACTTGGGACACTGGCGAGCCCTGTCCATCCACTTCAGGAATTTGCACTCAGGGAGGGAAAGGAGCAGAGAAGAGGACAGAGGCTGCCGGAGACACAGCCGAGAGCAGGCTGGGGAGAGAGGCAGGGAGGGCTCTGCCCCACCTTGTGCTCACGACTCAGCTACCACGAGAGAAACACGACCCGCTGCAGAAATACCGTCTCAGAACAACGGCTCCCACGGGAGCTCTCAGAAGAACCACGCCCGGCCGTGTGCTTCCAATTCCATCCCAACCCTAAAGCTGGCGTGTGTACCGCTGCCTGGGACTTGGGTGCCCTCAAGCACGGGGTCTCCCTGAGCCAGGCTGGCAGGAGGAACGGGCTCTGCGCCCTGAGCCCACAGCCCCAACATCAAAGACGAGACAACTCGCAGTCAGAGCCCAAAGTCCCCGTGTGCTGGGGAGGAGTTTGATACAACGGTGCTGAGCAGGGATCCCTCCAGAACACCAAAGCCACCTTCCACCCACTGTCCACTGTGCCGACGCCACGCTAGCTTCTCCGATCCCCATTTGTCTCTCTTCGCCCCAAGGCCTGCCCCGGAGCGTGTGCTTCCGCTTCCTCGTGTCGCTCATTAGCAAGCCGAAAAGACGTGTCATCCGGCCGGGGCTAACCTTTCCGCTCCGCGCTGGAATGTAGCCATACAGCAGAAACAATCATCTCCGAGGCTATTGCTCAAGCACCAGGTAGTTTATAGCCACGCTTTTGTCAAGATAAACGAGCTCTGTAAGACTGCATTTACAGCTCTGAGCATTTTAATAGGGAAAAAAAGGGCCATAAAAGTCAAACATAACTTCGAATTCTTCCTGCATCAGCTGCGTCCCGGGCCACCAGGTAACCTGGGGAGGCTCAGACAGGCCGAGGCAGGTGGGAGGAGAGAGCTGTCCTGCAGACCCTGCAAGCCAGGGCAGAAGCCACATGTGGCTTTGGGAAAATCTGTCTTTAATAAACGTTGCTGTGGGCTCTGAGGGCTCGATCGGGAGCCGTGGCGGGGCAGGCGGGCTCAGATTCCGGCTCTGACACAACTGTTTCCTCATCTGCAAGGCACACGGGGCTGGAAGGCAGCAGGCACCCAGGGGCCAGCGCAGTGCTGGGGTGGGCAGGAGGCCCCCTGAGCACTGGGTGGAAGGAGGGGCAGACTCCCAGAACCCAGAACCGGGAGGGGCATGGCTGTGGGTCCAGTGAGAAGTTTTATATCTTAAAATCTCAGAACCCAGGAGCTGGTGACTTCTAACACCGTGGCTTAGTCGACTTGCAAAAGGAGCCGTTTCCTCTTTAGAGAAAGCAAATAACGTGAAGGGCAGCATGTGACTCCACCTGCCTAGGCCTGGCAGCCACGCAGTCCTCCCCCTTGGTTTACAGATGGAGAAACTGAGGCCCGCAAGTGGAAGGCAGGTTCCTAAGGCCACACGCACAGGCCAAAACCTAGGGTCTCTTTCGGCTTTGCTGGCTAGGATAGCACAGCCGCATGAAGAGAAAGAACGTGCCCGGGAGAGGGAAGGACCCAGTCCGGACCCCGAGAGCAGGGTGTGCTACGGGTGCAGGGCATGAGGAGCATGTGGGACATGCGGGACATCTTCCCAGGCTGGCCCGTCACAGGGGCTCAACTCTGCGTGGGGTTCCAGTGGTCAGCAGACACATCGTGACAAGAAGGCCACTGAGAAGGGAAATGACTGTCCGAGGTTCGGATGACTTGGATTCAAGAGTTCACGGTCCGCCAACAGGCTGCGTGGGGTGGCTTGGAGGCCGTGCAGGGCCAGCTCCCGCAGGACACCCCAACCGGCCCTGGGCGCCACCTCCGTCAGGTGAGGTCCCTGAAGGCCTCCTGGGAAGGGTGCCAGCCCTCCTACACCCAGGGCTGCCATGTGACTGGGGCTCAGTTTCCTCCTTAAGACACGGGAGCGTTTTGTCCCCTCTCAGAGAGTGAGGACTCACGAGGGATGCTCACGGAGCGCCAAGGGCACCCTGAGGACCCCATCTGGCGGGTGCAGCGCCAGCCGCGGGGTCATGATGAAGCCCCTGCTCCCCCTTTGGGGCACCGGCTGCTCAGAACCTGGCCAGGCAGCAGCGTGGCCCCCTTGGCATTGGCACCCTGCACGGTGGCCGCAGCATGGGGTCTGCAGCCTCCCCACGGACACGCTCGGGACGGCTGCCTTTCCTCCTCACCCGCACCCACGCCGGGAGGATCTCGACGCAGATACGCAGACAGGAATCCAGAACACACACGGCGAAGCCCTTTCAAGGCAGGTTCCAGGCTCCACGGTACCCCCCCTTCAACACCCACCACCGAGACTGCCCCGAACACCGGGTCGCTGCCTAACTCCCCGCCCGTCCGGCTGTTTTGAAGCCAGGACCCCGTCCAGGACGGGCACTGTGCACGGGTCTCTTCTGCTTCTTTTCCTTTACGACGGCCCCACGCCACCCCTTCTCCCCAGGCAATGGCCTTTTTGAAGAGACCAGGACAACTGTCCACAGAAGGTCACAGCTTCCTCATGGGGCCCTGTCTCCTGTCGAGAGCTCACTGAACAAGGACGGACAAGGCTCTTGGGTGCGTTCACCCAGCATGCTGGGGTGGCCGGCGGGGCAGAGGCTTTCCTGCCGAGGCCCTGGAGCCAGAGAGGACCACTGAGGCCCCACTGCTGGGGCTGCGGATGCGTTTGGACTCGGAGCCTTTGCCCACAGGGCTCTGGACATGTGAGGAGTGGGCCATGCCTGGCTGGGTGAGGGAAGTGGGATGTCCTGGGGAAGGCGGCCCTGCTCCCTCCCCTCCACGCGGCCCAGCGGAAGTTCTTCCGGCTGAGCCACTGCGCGCACAGCCGCGGAGCGCGGCGATTTAACTGCTTCTTGAGTCGCAGTTTTCCTTGCATCTTTATAGAACTGCTGTGATGTGTGGCAAAGATAACGAGTCAGTTCCGGTGTCAATAACTGCTAATAAATATTAATGCAACATAAGCGCCATTTTTACTGCCATGTGAAACCAGTTTATTATTCACAGATGAACCCAACTGCCTCCTTGATCACTGTCTGGAGCGAAGCAGGCAGCTCCACGTGCTGGTGCCGGTGCGAGCTTGTCGCTGGGCCCTGCCCCCGCTCGCTCGACATCACGCCTCCACCAACCCCACGCCCATCCATGAGGGACGATCAGGAGCCACCGAGAGTTTGTGTGAAAACCCGGGGAAAGTCCCGCCTGCTCCCACGTGGCAGCTGTCTGCCCCGTGCCCCCGCCTGGCCATGTGTGTTTATGACCAGGCTCGACACGCTGGAGGGAAGCCAAGTGACCTGCACTTGAATCTCACTCCCCGGCCGGCTCCGGTCATGCCAAGCATCGCTGTCCTCCTCCTCCAGCGCAGGGAGCAGGAACGGCTCTCCCTGTCACAGGGACAGAGGGGAGGCAGGAGGCACCTGGCACAGGTGCTTGAGGACCAGCCCGTGCCAATGGTGCGTGAGTGGTTCAGTGGCTCCACCGCCCCTCGTGCTGTGCGCCTTTGCGCACGTGTACGTCAGCAACCCACGCTGCAGTGAGGCAGCCCGCGCACGGGACCGATGGAGCCATGAGGAGTCTATGGCGCTGGCGGGAGGGCAACCGGGTCAAGTGACAAGAGACCACCCAAGCCTGCAGGCCCACGGTCCCCTGAGCACACGCCCAGGGGCGACGCACAGCACGGGCACAGGACAGGGGCGGCCGGGAAAGTGGGGAGGAGAGCGACTGTCCCTGGCCAGGGGAACAGATCAACCAGAATGGACGGAAAACCTCCCAGCAGCCAGAGTGAGCAAACCAGACCTGCAGGTGTCATCTGAGGACGCATCTCCAGGTGAACACCACAAGTGGCCACGTCACGCGCAGCCTGGCACCGTTCACATAAAGTCGGCACCTCGGGACCGCGTGCGGCTTGCTTGTACAGTGGGAGCACAGCCAGGGCCGGGGGAGAGAGGGCACGTGATGGGCGCCTATTGTCTCTGTAATGTTTCAGCCCCTTAACGAAGTCATTAGATGTAAACTGCCAAACGTCCATGTTTATTCACTTGGGTGGAGGACACGTGGAGGCATATTATGGTGCCCTTTGCACATTTTGTAATTAAAAAATAGGCATAAAAGGAGGCAGAGAGGGAGCTCTGCATAGAGCTGGGGAGCAGGAAGGCTCCCTGGAGGACGTGGTATCTGAGCTGGACCTTGAAAGTTGGACTGGAATGTTCCAAGCGGGCAATCAAGAAAGTGCACGGGAATTATCAATAGATAATTATCAATTAATAATAGATAATTATCAATAGAAGGCAGGACAGGCAGGTGGTGGGAGGGGTGGGGCGCCAGCAGCAGGGACTGGAGCTCCAAAAGGTACGTGGCAAAGGAGGCGTGGAGGGGCAGAGGCCAGGTCACCAGGGGCCTTGAATGCCATGCCCAGCAGCTCAGCCACTCCCCTGGGGAGACTGGAGCCAATGCAGGCTCTTTGCAGGGACAGGCGTGTGGTTGCCCCATGGAGCCTGACCAGAGGCCGTGCCATGAGCTGCTGGGCGCGACCCAGAGCAGAGTGTCGGGGCGGCAGAGGGTGGCTCTCGCCCCTGTGGACACGAGGGGTTGCTGCTCCCTGAAGGGGCAGGGCGCACAGTGGCCCTGCGGTACCGAGGCCTGTTCAGACCTCCGAATCTTCTTCTACCGAGACCTGCTGTCCACGTCCTGCGACATCCTTCACACCTGCTCTCTCCCAGGGTGCTGGGGGTGACTCCCAATACATAGTGAGCCGCACCCGGTGGACTCTTAGGAGACCTTAACACTGGGTCTTTAAAACAAGAAGCCTCTTCTGAAACCAGCTTCACCGAACCCTGTGAAGGGAGTCATTTTCTGAAGCTCTGACCTCAGGATGCTGCCCACGCCCTGCTCCGGGGCAAACCCGCTGACTGAGACCACCACAGGCACAGAAACCAGGCCACTGCGGCCCGGCTGCCACACACAGGCGGATCCTGCCTGGCTGGGTCCCGGTGACCCTGACCAAGCAGGGGCCAGCGAGGCAGGCTGCCCAGGGCCACTCAGCCGATTGCAGAGGCCTTTATGGGGGGAGCCGCTTTTATTCAGGAAGTGCCAGAAAACACAAGTGGCTACTGTGCGCTGACATTTCCAACATCCTTTCAGCGGCCCACAGTGCGGCAGAGTGGCTTAATTAACGTGAAAGGATGCAATTTCATGCTATTCAGTAGGAAAAACGCACTCTAAATGGCATCGTGGACTAAGGATTGGGGGCTGTGATCTGGAGGGTGGGCAAAACATGGCCGCGAGGTCCCCGGCAACCACAGGTATGTATGGCGGGGAGAGGCATTCCAGAAACTTCTACACAGGAGTGGCAGCCTCTGATGTCACACCGTTTCCGCGGCGGCGGACGTCCATGAGACCAGCAAAAACTGTCTGCACCAACTCAACTGGAGGACAAAGGCCGTGGCTGGAAGAGAACCGGACTCAGAGGCCGGGAGCCCAGCGGGTCCTGCCTGGGGCCCCACCCGTGGCGTGAGACTCGCACAACCAGCAGCCTCTGCCCAGGATGGCAGCCCCTGAGAGAAACCAGCCACCCTCATCCCCACAGAAGGGGTTGTCTCCTCTAACCCATGTCCCCAGAGGAAGGCCGGCCCAAAATGCAGCCTCGAAGCCTGGGGGGGAGGTGAGGAGGTGTCTCTGCCGGAGGACCCAGGGGCAGGGGCTGGAAGCCTCGAACCTCCACTGGGAAGACCCTGGGGTTAGTTTTCCTTCCTCTCACCCGTTCTCTGGAATGAGGCAGAAAAATCTGACACTGTCTCCAGGGCCATGAGGGGAGGGCAGGGGGGGCAACTGCCCCTACCCCAGAGAGGAGGGGGGCTGTCTCCCTGGGGCCTGGGGCCAGAGGTGCCTGCCCTTCCCTGCGTCCCCTCACCGAGTGCCCTCCCTATCAGAGCGTCCACGTCACTCTTCCGCATGGGGCCCTGGAGCCCCTACCTGGGCTGTTGGGTCTGGCAAGGCCACCACCTAAACCAATCACAGTCACAGCGAAATCCAATCCAGAGTGGCGCTTCTAACCGCCTCTCCCCACACGGACCTACAGTCGCTTAGAAAGTCCACTTTCCACTTGCAACGGGCTGACGCACGCCCGCCACCTCCAATCCCCGGAATCTAATTCAGGGGACACACATCTGTACTGGCACCACAGAAAGCCGGTGACAGCCCATGAGTCACTCCTCCATTGGGAAAGGCCCCTGGGGCGAGCCTCGGTGTGGACAGGGATGCAGGGCGGACCCTCGTCCTCCGCAGCCCCCAGCTCCTGGCTCCCCACAGGAAGGGCCCCGAGAGACTGAGATTGGATTTACCTCCAGCCCAGTACCTGGCACAGAGCTGAGTGTCTACACCCAAGTTACCGCCACTCAGACCAAGACACAGAACATTCATTCCCGCAACCCTGGAGGCTCCCGCAAGCCCCTCAAAGGCGGCCCTACATGCCAACGAGGCTCTTGCCAAGGAGAGCAGGGATTGGCTTCTGGGATCGGCTTCTGGTTTGACTTGCAGATGCAGTCGGGGCCACAGCCACTGGGGAACAGGATCAGGTCACTTCTGTTTTCTCAACCTGCTGGCGCTAATTAAACTCAGCAAGTGTCTCCTGCACACCTGCCCTGAGCGGGCCCTCGTGTGCGGATGTGAGGTTCCGCCCTCGGTCTGGGGGACGGACGCTAAGCAAGCACCAGGACCTGCTGCCCTTAGTGCCGCCGAGGTGTACGGGAAGGTCTCACCAACACGGAGAGGGTGACCGGCGAGCAGCGTGGGGCTGTCCGACGTTGATAAAGCACCTCCACGTCTAGTTCGTCTCCACAATTCCAGGAGCACCAGGACCCGATGCAGACGAGGAGACAGGGAAGAGGTGACCTGCCCCAAGGAAGCGGCTGGTGAGGGAGGAGGAGGGGCCCCCGGGAGTGGATGCTGGGCCCTCGACTTTGGGTGGTCACTCCTCCTAACACCCTGGGGGACTGCTCTCCCCCTCAGCGCCCCCCACTCTGTCCTGCAGGATCAGACCAGCCTGGGGGGGTGGAAGGGAGAAGGCCACATAGAGAGCAGGGGCCAGTGTCCCTGGGGGGTGCAGCCACCTCAGATGTGGGTGGGGCTGCCAAACAGCCCTGCACACAGGAGGCACTTAATAACCATACTAGTGTCCCCAGGTGTGTCCCACTATCAGCCACACTGCCTCTCGAGGCAGGGCGGGAGGACCATGGCAGCTTGGTGGCTGCTCGTTAAAACTGGGAGGTGACAGTTGTAGATTACCGGTGCCACTCTTCACAGGGCACCTGTGTCGGGGGAGGGACCACAGGGCCAAGGCAGCCCCTGCGACACATGGAAACGGTCCGGGTGCTGCCTCTGCGTGAGCCTGGACCAGCACCCTCACCCCCTGACTCAGTTTCCCCACCTCCAAGATGGGGGCCCCCAGCGTCCAGGGGAGATGGCCAGGCAGGTCACCAGGAGATAGCTTCCGAGGTTGGCACTGAGAAGAACCAATGTGACAATGACCCACAGCTGGACAGGAGAGGCGGGACTGCAGGAGCATGGTCGGAGCATGCACCCAGGCAAGGAGAATTGAAACAGCCCAAGGGCCCAAGAACACCCAGGTGCACCCACGGGGTCTGGGGTGCTGTCTTGGGAACATTCCCTGTGGGTGGCCAGCTGCCACTGAGCCCTCTGAGGCTGCAGGGGCAGGAGGCACATCTGCCAGCCCTGACCTTGACCTTGGCTGTGGACGTGGGGGGAGCTCTGAGCAGGGGAGCAACAGGCGGGATGTGTGTGCTTGGGCGCTCTCTCCCCTGCCTGGGTGGAAGGTGGGTCGCAGGTGGGGTGTGGGGGCGAGGCCCCCAGCTGCTGGTTCGGCCA